TTTTTTTTTTTTTTTGCTACATCCATTGCTTGTTTTGCTGTAAAGTAGCCCCTCGATACTTCATGGTTTGACTTTCACGGACTCACTCTTTCGCAGGTTTTCAACCTAAGATTGTACACAACACATGATTGACTGATTGATGGAAGGCAACCAACCAGAGCCTTGTGCTGAGGGACAGACTGGCCATTGGAACCACCGGGACATTTCCCTGTGGCCTGGCCCACTCAGTGATTGCTGAGGGGACCCCTTCCTTTCTCTTTCTGAGGCTGTCTGTCACAGCAGTGCAGAGACACAGAACAGGTGTACAACAGACTCAGAAAGAGAAAGGAGGGGGCGGGATGGGGTTTGTCTTTCCCCATCACTACGGGCCATCTAGAGCACTGGGAAATATCCCAGTGGTCTGGCTCACTCTGCCACTCTCTTTTAAAAAAAAAACTACTGATTCGCTCTTATTTTTCCACCTACGCATTTTCTCCAATATTCTATATTTGTTCATCTTATATGTCCATTCTTGCTCGCTGAGCAGCAGCAATGGAGAAAGACAAACCCCACCCCCCGCCTCCTACTTTCTCTTTCCGAGGCTCTCTGTCACAGCAGAGCAGAGACACACAACAGGTTGCGCACCTGCCTATTGTTTGTCTCTGTTCTGCTGTGACAGCCAGCCTCAGAAAGAGAAAGGTGGGGGTGGGGTTTGTCTTTCCCCGTCACTACTGGCCAGCGGGAGCACCAGGAAATGTCCCGGTGCTCCCGATGGCCAGTCCGCCCCCGGGCACTGATCGGCTCAGTAACCATAGCATCAGTTTGTCTGCTCTCTTTCACTGTGCTCTTTTGTGAAGAAGAAGCGGCGCCAGCAACTCCCCTTAACTATGTTCATCGCTCAAACAAAGAGATCTGGGTTTATAATCCCTTTAAAAAATATATATATAAATAATGGTCTTTGGTCTCAACTGAAAATCTACAACAAAATTTAATAATTATGATTTTAAGGAGCAAGCCAGTCATTATTATTATTGGTACGTGAAAAACTGGCAGGGATGCTTTTTTTTATTAACGTAGCTGAGGCTGTTGAGTGAGTAGCATTTACTTTTTACTATGGTAAATACTTTATTTTCATCCAAACATCTATTATCTTTACCCTCCATTTTACTTTTTAGGTGATAATCCAAGTTTGTTAAATGTTTTCCAAAACACTTTAGACATTTTTTACTCATTTTTCTTGTTTTAGTTTAGTTCTATTTGTGGAAAAACAACAAAACCACCAGGGAGCAAAATAGCAGGTTGTAATTTTAATACCAGTAAAAATGCTGTTATCTCATTAGACAGTATTCTTAGTGCTATAAAACTTCTAAATGAAAGCAGACCAACTACTCTTTTCAGCACGCTTTGATTGGTTGAGCTACAAGTTATTTACAGAATGACTAGAAAGAGTACTAACTAAAACAGTTTCGGGGTCCAGGGGGTCATGATATATTTTACTAACAGACAGACACCTCTAGGCAATGACATATTTACTAACATTTTATGGCAACAGGCAGAAAAGTTTGAATTTCCCTAAATGTTTTTTTATTTTGGAAAAAGAATATAAATGTTCTTTTAGTTTTTTACCATTGCTTGCCTTTGTCCAGGACCTGTAGTTCTGCTGGACTCAGCCTCGATGGCCTCGGCTGACCTGCACAAATTGTTTTAGGAAGCCTGCTTTTAGACGGCCAAGAGGACAGTAGTAGTGCCCTTCCTCCTATCCAACATCCAAGAGCATTATGGGAGGTGGTGCTGATGACAGCGCAGTTAGTAAAACTTTGTGCTTCCTGCTTCTTAAACTGCTGACTCGTCTTCTTACTGTGGCTACAGTATGTGCCTGCTGTGCTGGAGTCTCTGTCACTGTTGAGGTTTGACCATTTTTAAAACCTGTCAGGAGATGCTAAATGGGTTTCTGAGACTCTGTCACGTGCAGTTTTGCAACTCGCGTCACAAATCCAACGTGTAAATGTGTTTTAAAGCAGACAAGTTCATCTTCTCAGAAAGGTGATAGGTCTAAGGAGGATGTCACACTTATCCTTGAGTTAGTATTTGGTCTTCTTTAGCTCTTGAGTGCAAAAAAAGGTTTAAAAACAAAACAAGTGTACTGTTCTGGACCTAAAGACATTTGAAATCTCATCCAGGTGGCTTTATCAATTCAAAAATGTCTAGAGTGTGTGGAGGTCCAAGCTTCACAGAACTGCATGAGAGGCCTGTGTAGTATTAGATTAGACACCTCATAGATTAGACTGGAACTACTCGCTCCTCACAATGGAGGCTTGTTAGATTGTCTGCCTGGCTCACAGAGAGATGTTTTGGTCATCTGACTGCATGAAGGTGTGAATTAGCGTGGAGCTGGCTGGGAATATTTGTTTTTGAAAGTTGAAATCTGAGACCACCTCCTCTGTTTTGAAGTTGTTTTTTCTCATCGACTCCTGCGACCCGAAAAAGAAGAAGCGGGTAAACGTAATGGATGGACATAAACTGCTTCCTCCACTGGACATTTTGGTCCTCAAGAGAGTCTCCTTTAGCCGTGAGACATACCCACACTTCAAGGACAAGAGACAGGGTTAGTTTTGCTTTTGAAAATGTGTATTCTTTAAAAAAAAAAAAAAAAACAGGGCTGCTAGCTTCTGTTTGCTATGAGACAATGATAAATTCATCATCAATACTCCAATAACAGCACTGCCAGGTGAGAGTGGAGTGTTGTGTTTTACACACAAAAAGTTCCAGCCATCCATCCATTATCTTCACCCACTTTTTCCTTTTCAGGTCACGGGGGGTCCCTGATGCCCATGTTCAGCCATCCCTGTGCGAGAGGTGGGGGACACCCTGGACAGGTCTCCAGTCCATCACAGGGACACAGAGACAAACGAGATGAACAACCATTCACTCTCTCTCAGGGACAAATTAGAGTTATCAATCAGTCTAACATGCATGTTTTTGGTCTGTGGGAGGAAACCGGAGTACCCAGAGAAAACGCACACATGCACAGAGAGAACATGCAAACTCCACCCAGAAAGGTCTCGGTCCTGGCTTTGAACCAGGGACTTTCTCGCTGAGCGGCGACGGCTCTACCAACTGAGCCACCGTGCCACCCCCACACAAGAAGTTAATCCTGGTTATTGATGCTTTTGTCACTTACAGCTCTGATCGTGGAAGAAGTTGCTATTTTTAATCCAGCGGTCCAATTCAAAACCAAAAGGGTAATTTTGGACTCTGCATATCATTAGCCATCCTGCTGCGTCGCCATGTTTTGCACGGCCAATTTTAGTAAATAATGACCAATTTTCATGTGCATTGTTTGCAAAACTGTAGGCTATGTACAAATAAATATATTTTTAAAATCAATAGAAGATGCCCACTGTGTACTAGAATTTCTGACAATTTGCAGACGTGTCAGAAAAGAACTCGAAAAAAAACGTTCATCTTGATTTTTGTCCACTCTACATAAATACAAATGAACATGTCGGCTCTGCTCTCTGAAAGAGTCTGCTGTCTTAATGCTAAATGTTTCACTTTGCTTCTTTGCAGATGTATGGGCGTTACACCCAAGAACTTGGGGTGTACGCCAAAGAAGAGGCTGCTCGCCTGAGGGAGAGTGGGCAGAGGCGGTCAACCAGTGAGCAAAGCCGGTCCCTGGACCTGCTCGAGTACAAGGGACGCTGTGCTAAGTGCCACAGTAAGTTCTAAACCATGACGAGTCATCGGCAGGCAACTATTCAATTTAAAATTGTCTGGAATTTTGAAATAAACTATTTTGTGTTCAGGCAGTTCAATATGACTCCATCTACAAGACCTTGTTGTTTAAACTTATAACATATTTGAAATGCACATAATTACATCTGTAAATGAAAGGTGGATCATTTTCTTTGAGGGGGAAATAGCAGTACATGTAAAACATGCGTAACTGAAATAATGTACAAATTCAAAGAGAATGTTACATTTTTTTAATAGTTGAAACCTTTTTTCTTATGGCTTTAAATGTGGTATGTACAAATGCTTATTCCTTTTTTTCATATTTCCACCTGTATGGTGTAGCTAACTTGGCTGTCACATTTCCAATTGCCTAGTAATAAAGTCTACCTTGCAAGTGATTATCCTTTAGTACTAAAAACATAATTAGATGTCACATTTGACTTTATTTGAACCATTTTTTCCATGAATTGATTGACTGGGTTAAATACTTCCTAAAAAGTGTCTCTTGTAATGAACTGGGAGCCTCTGACGTTAGTTTTACTGTTGACTTTTCCAGTTTATGGAGACCTTTTTAGAGACTACTCTATAGGTTTTTTATTAATGAAACTCTGAGAATGTCACAGACAGGAAAAAAAGAATGTTCTTTATGAAACCTTTACTGAAGAGAAAAGGATAAAAAGGATTAATATGTAGCTTGACATTGAGCATTGCAGCTTAGGTGCAGGACCCCCCATTAAATGAGAGAAAAAAACTGTGTGTGCCCCAAGAATCATACTTTAGCATCACTGCAAAAATGACCCATAACATGTGAACATGTTTTAGTGTTATAAATCTAATGCTAAAAGTTCTCTGATGGATCTGAACAAGAGTTGCTGAAGTAGTTCTCTTCAGGTCAGGGAACAAACTTTAAACTGGTCAACAAAAAGGAAAAACCTATTGCTGCAGCAGTAGACGGTCATCTCAACAACAACAACCCCTTCACTGCAAATCTGTCGGCATGCGAATACGCATAGAGGAGGATTTACGTGGAAATGTCTTCATCTTTATCCGTCTTTATCTAAATTCTGTTTGTAGTGATAATGTGCGTGTTGTGTGAGCCATAAAACCAAAATTAGATAAGACTGTGTACGGGTCATATAACAGGATAAAACACCTAACCCGTAAACACAAGTTCGGGAAAGTCTTTGAGATCCATGTGGAAGATGAGAAAAGGCATTTTACATCACTTGTTGTATCTTGACTTTTATTCTAGACTTTTTTTCTGTGTCTGAGACTCACACACATAAAACACACACATTATGTAGACCCTGACTTTGTTTGGCCTTATTCTTTGAGGAAAAATCTGGCTAAAGTCAATGATTGTTGGTATATTAAGTTTTACCTAAAAATTGGACTCCATCCATTATCTTCTGCTTATTCCTAAGTCTGGTAGCTGGGGCAGCAGGTTGAGCAGGGATGCCCAGACATCTCTTCACAGCCACCTCTTCCAGCTCTTCTGGGAGGACTCCAAGGAGTTTCCAGGCCAACTGAGAGACATAGTCTCTCCAGTGTGTCCTGGGTCTTCCCCGGGGTCTCCTCCCAGTTGGACACCTCCCTAGGGAGGCACCCAGGGGGCATCCTTACCAGTGCCCGAACCACCTCAACTGGCTCCTCTCGATGTGGAGTTGTGGTTTTACTCCGAGTCATGGAAAAATGAACTTCTCACCCTATCCTTAATGAGGAGTCCAGCTACTCTGCTGAGAGGAAACCCATTTCAACCGCCTGTATCCCACGATCTCATTGGTCACTTCATTGGACTCAATTTTGGTTAAGTTACTTTCATCTGGTAAGGATTTTTTTTTCTTTCTGTACTCCGGTGAAGACGGACATGTTTTCCCGGTGCTTCGTACCCCCCCCCCCTCCCCCGTTTCCCTGCTTGCATTAAAGAGCCTCTTTTGTTTTTTCTGCATACCTCCTAATTTGAAGGATCAGCTGGTCTCTCAACAAAATTGATCAACTTTTCCCTACAGGAAGTCAGGGTAAGGAGGACCCTCTTACCTCGATGGAAACAAATTGGATTCATGATGACTACTGTTTTTTTTTGGGTTTTTTTTTTGCTGTTTGGCTGATGAATTCTGGATTGTCTATAAATTCGTATGGATGTGTCGAAGCTCGACAGCACTTAGACTGCATTATGTGCAATTGCATCAGAGCTGGTGCAGTTGTTATCAGGACTGTGAACTCTCTAGCAGCACACATGAAGGTGGGAATAATCTTGGAGAAGCTGTGAGCTTGGCTTTCAGGAATCAGTTTGGCTGTTTGGAGTTTCCATCAGAGGAATATATACCAGCGAGACTTTAAAAAGGCAGAAACAGCAATTCCTGACCCAAACTGTGGCCTTTACGCTGGACTTATCTCAACTCCTCCTGGCATGTTTTGAAAAAACAAAGATGCTTTGTCTGTCTCCTCACCCCTCCCTTCCACAAGGCTGTGGACATGTGACAGAGCCTCAACCGAGCTGACGATAAATAACCCCTCTTATCTGGACAATGGCTGAGAGGGGGGGCTCTGGACTATGCTACAACTTTCCCTTAAAAATTCAATGTTTTCACCGGCCTATATGTACATGTATAACGTCTGTTTATGTTGCTTTGCTGCTGTAGGTTTTTTGATGCCTCAAATCGTACCCTGTCTAGGACGTGGCGTGAGAGTTCTTTTTTTTTTTTTATACCGTCTCTCCTCATGTTTTCTTCCCTTTTCTCATCTAAGCAAAATATTATTCTGAATAAGATTAAGATGGCCGCGCTTCGTGTACTCCGCCCATCTTTCGGACGACTGTATGTACACGTTCTCATTGTATCTCGGCGCAATGATAATAAAGTTTATTCTGATTCTATTCTGATTCTGATATATGATAGCTTGCTGGTCAGTGCTATAGTCTTGTGATCCTGAGGTTGTGTGTTCAAGCCCAGATTGTGTCAGGAATGGCATTCGGCATAAAACAAATTGTCAAATCTTTCACGCAAGTTTACTCACTGTGGTGACCCCTGAAGAAGGGAGCAGCACAAAGAGACCTTCATATATACAGTATATACAGTAGTCCCTTGTTTATTGTGGGGGATCCATACCCTGAAGCCCCACAATAAGTGAAAAACCACAAAGTAGGAAGTAGTACAAGTAGTAAGTAGTAGTTTATTTTAATATATATATATATATATATATATGTATATATATATATATATATATATATATATATTATGTGAGGGCATTTTAAACCCTTCCCACACTCTTGCAATATTCTAAACACTGTTTCTAAACTACCCAAAATGGGGGCAGCACGGTGGCGCAACTGGTAGAGCTGCTGCCTCTCAGCGAGCAGGTCCTTGGTTCAAACCCCGGTCCAGGGGCCTTTCTGGGTTGAGTTTGCATGTTCTCTCTGTGCATGCGTGGGTTTTCTCCGGGTACTCCGGTTTCCCCCCACAGACCAAAAACATGCATGTTAGGCTGATTGGTAACTCTAAATTGTCCCTAGGTGTGAGTGAGGGAGTGAATGGTTGTTTGTCTCGTTTGTCTCTATGTGGCCCTGTGATGGACTTGCGACCTGTCCAGGGTGTACCCCGCCCTTCGCACAGTGATTGCTGGACATGGGCACCAGCGACCCCCGTGATCCAAAATGGAATAAACGGGTAAAGATAATGGATGGATGGATGGATGTTTCTAAACTCTAAACGCTCTAAAAAAGAGCACTCAGCTCCTGCCTCCACTCCTCTTTGCCACCTGCAAGCGCTCTTGGTCACGTCCACTTCTACACTGCACACAGAACAGCTGATCAGCTGCAGTAGGAAGTTTATTCTGCAGTATGGGCTGCACGAAGCTGCAGCAGTTGCTAAATAATTTATTTTTAATAAAAATTCCATGCCGATCGTGGGGCACATCCATCTATCAGCCAGTTGTGTGTCATGTCCAATCTTATTTTGAAAAATCACGATAGAGTGAGTCAGTGATAAACGAAGCCTCCAAGTAGCGAGGGACTAATGTATTTATATAATATAAATAAATACATAAACATAAATAGCACCAATAATAAGAATATTTTGAACTACTTCGACCTTGATTGGCTGAAACGAGTTGGCGGGGGAGAGGGTGGACCACAAAAACCATCTGAGCACCATCAAACCGGTTGATCCACTATGTAAAGGTTATATTTATAAGGCTGAGGTTGTTGTGGTTCCTTGGACTGAAGAAGTCCTTTGGATGAAAGATGAAAAATTTCAACAAAAAGAAACTGTCCAGAGGACCTGACTGAACTTTGTTAAATATTATGGTAATGGTCTCCAGCCCTTCATAGACTTAATTTGGTCCTGTCCATAACTTCTGATCCGCTCAAGTTAATTTACAAAGTTTTATACACCAGCACATCATAGACTGTGTCATGTACACTTTTCATTACTTCAGCTTCAAGGTCAAGGTCAACATTTATACAAGTTCTTTGATTTTCTGGGCCATCGCTAGAAATTCCCGTTTAATCGCTTGTCGTTGGCGTATAATGTACTCTAAGCCATCCTCTTCTCATTTCTTTGGAACAAACTTTCATTGTACTGAGATTTCTACCAAAATTACAGGAGCTGTAAACAGATGTTCTGACCAAAGGAACACTAAACCTCAACTTTACTCTTCTTATTTGTTATTTTTTGCAGTATCTTGTTAAATACCTAAAAGCTCTTGGTTATTCTAATTATAGGAGTTTTGTCTTTGGAAACAAAGCAGGAATATTTTCATAACGTCATGTGAACTGTGAATCATTCAGTTTATGAGGACAGAAGAGTGAATGTGAGCAGCCTGTAACAATGTGTTTTTAGATGTATTTAAATTGGGGGGGGGGGATGTCTGAAAAACCACTTTAAAATCATTAGATGGATGATTTATTGTATTTTTCGTGGGAAAAGTACATTTAATTTTTAATCACTGCAGTTTCATTATTACAGCTCGCAACACAGGTTCTGG